TCCAGTGGCCCAGGGCTGGAGAGGTGGGCACTCTGCTCTCAGAGGGGACAGACATGGGACCAACGAGAGTGGGAGCTAGGTCGGCTAATAAGGGGAGGAGGGCCATGTCTTTTCTGGAGCTGGGCAGCAGTCGTCCAGGGACTCGGGGCCACCTCTTTCCCTCCTTTCGTGGTCTAATATTTCTGCTTGCGGCGACTGGCAGTTGTCCTTGTCCTTGAACGGGGAGAGAGAGCCTGGGCAAATCTGTCCAGGTCAAGGTAACCCTGGATCCTGGTTCCAGACAACGTCTCTCCAGTGATCATATGGCCCATGCAGAACTGAGCAGAATCTGTCCCCAAGGTTCAGGACACCACGGAGACGAGCACAACCTGAAGACAGAGGCGCCAACCAACTTCCTCTTGTTCCGGTCACCCTGTTGGACGTCTGCAGGCCCAAGTGAAGAGTCTCTGTTTGGGTGACAGTGGCCTCAGGTCCCTGAAGAATAACCCATGGCCTCCACAGCAGAGGTGACAGAGGTGTCCTCTACAGCAAGCTAATGGGAGACAATGGATTGTCCAGCTGTGTGACCTCTCAGATTAGCAACTTTTAAGTCAGCTAAAAGCAAGTGACGCTGGAGGGGCTGTTGGGGCTTTTCCTGGGAACACGGGCATGTCCCAGCACAGTGCCAGGCTGAGCTGAGCTGATCAAGGACCTGGTCTTCAAAAAAACATGGGGCGGCAGATGCACACGCCAGCGTGAGCATTTGTGTGGCCAGGCTGCTGCAGCCGAGGACGGCCGGGGGCAGTGCAGGCCCAAGGGTCACAGAGAGGCTCTGCAGAGATGCAAAATCAGCCTGTTTAAAATGCCCAGTTGTCCGCTGTCATCCTGGAGGTGAGAGCCCATCTGGTCCCTGAGCTCCTGGTGCTCCCTCCTGTCTCTCCGCCTCTGCGCTGTGTGTAGAGCGACCCCTGGTGGCAGCCGCCACACCCGTCTTTTCACAGTTTGGGAGCTGCTTGCACCTGGGCAGGAGGCGTCAGCCACTCACTGGAGCAGCAGGCAAGGGCTCCAAGAGGCAGCGCCAACAGTGCGAGACAGACAGCGAAGCCACCCTTTGTAAACCACATGAAAGGGGGTAATGGACAGTGAGCTCACGAGAATTGTTACTGTTTTAAAAATAAATGCAAATAAGCAAAACCTTGAGACTCCATTTTCTTTTATGCATTTGCCAAATGTTAAAGGCACCTGCTGCTGCACAGGGCCTGAGCCACTGCGGGCACAGATGGGCAGAGCCTCTTGGGAAGGCTGTCAATCAAGGAGCACTCCACACCTGTGCCCGAGGCTCGCGCTCCCAACTCACAAGCCTGTCTGCAAAGGGGGTGCAGAGGGCGTGAGGAGCGGCTATGGCGATGTCCTTCCCAGCGCTGTTTATAGGTGGCAAAAATTGGGGACAGCCTAGACGGAGCTGCTGGATAATGCCAGGCAGGCCGGACAGCAGAGTCTCAGGGAAGCCACCCAGGACCACACCCCGGAACTCGGGGAGAAACGATCCTTCTGGGACTTTTGATGAAAAATGCAGAAAACCAAAAATTATATTTTGAATAAATAGAATTTTAAGCTGTCTGTGCATAGGGAATGTCTCCACCTAGCGTCTGGAAGGGTGCCTTCCAACACATGAATGTTTGTGTCCAGATATCTTTGTATTCCTTGGTTTCTTCTTTTTGCTTATCTTTCAAAAAATTTCATATTAAGGATAAAATAAGATAAAGTTACAGACAAGTGTTTCCTCTGTGTTGAAAGCAGGAAGGCTGACAGGCCGATCAGTGCAGTGCAGGAGAGGAAAGTCCAGGGGCAAGCTCTGCGCTCTCTCCCATTGACTTGCTGTGTGATTTTGGACAAGTTGCTCTCCCTCTCTGTGTGTTGACTTCATCATTTATGAGATGAAGGGGGTAAGCTAGACAGTGGATAACTTCAGTATGCACTCTTCTGACCCTCTGGATGATCCCCCAAGGGAGGGATATGTGTGCATTTATCCCTGCTGTGTCCCCAGCTCTAAAACATGGCCTGCCTGGTAGCTGGTGATCAGTGAGCATTTGTTGGATTGAACTGGAGCCACCTGGTATTGTAGCACAATCCAAGCAGGATTGGCCGTGAGCACAACGGTCCCCACGTCCACCTTCTTGAGATGGGACCTGTGATCTCTGACTCCCTCCTTCCCTTCAGCCCCTCTCCTCCTCCTTCTCACTTGGAGTCTGTTTCTTCCTCTCTCCACCCCGCCCCTTCTCTCTCTCCTGCTTCTCACCCACTTTCTTTCCTGCATTCTCTCTCTTTAATGATGGCCTCAAGGTTTGCATAAGAGCATTTAAGTCAAGTGGGAGCCCAGTGGATAGAGACAGTGGGGGACGGGCTGGGGCTGGGGCTCAGCGGTGGAGCGTGAGGCCCTGGGCTCCATCCTCAGCGTAAAGATAAATAAAGGTATTGTGTCCACCTACAACTAAAAATTAAATATTAAAAAATGAGACAGGCGGTGAGGGGACAGTTGCAGGCCCACCCGTTGGGACACAGGCTGGTGCCCCCGGTCCGGCTCCCGGTACTGGTTTCCACAGTTGGGATCGAGATTCCAGCTGGTTCTGCTGAGAGTCCTCGGGACATGCCACGATGTGGCCAGGGTCAAGGTCCCTGGGTTTTTAGCAGACAAGGGCCTGAGCATCCTGTGACCCAGAAGAACAAGCGTCACAGGCTGGAGCGAGGGAGAGGCCATGAGGAGGATCATGGGGGCTTCAGTTTGGGGAGGGAAGGGAGGCTAGAGGAAGCCTCATTGAGGGTCTGGCTGGAAGTTTAGGAGAGGCTGAGCCCCTTCCCACCGAGCCCCTTATTTACTGCTGTTTCATGTGACATGGGAGACCCGTCACAAAGCCAGTTTGCAGAGGAGGGGCAGGATTCAGAGTGGCAGGCCTGCCAGGGCCCCTGGGTCCCACTCGGCCCCAGCCCTGACCTCTGACCCTCAGCCTCTGCTAGAGCACAGGTGGGCTGGCGCGGGGTGGGCAGGAGGCCACAAAGGGGCTTCTCGCAGTGCAGGGGAGGAGACCAGTGGGCTGGAGACCCAGTGTCCTTGTCAGTCCCGGGCTCAGAAGCCGGGTGGGGCGGAAAGGCAGGACTGAGCGGGGACAGGGCAGGTTTGCCCAGCAGGCGGCAGGCCGGCAAACCAGGGGAGATTGAGGACCCACCGGGCAGGCCAGGAGGCTGCTCTGAGAAGGGCCAGGGTGCAGAGGTCAGGGGACCCACAGGACACGGGTGACCAGGACAGCCGTGACAGCCCTGGGGACCTCCTGCGCTCTCCGTCAGCACAGGGTGGATTCTGCAGGCTTGCAGGGCAGGGGGCGCCCAGCGGGTCTCCCTGGTGGCTGTGAGAAACGAGGAGGGAAGCCGGAGGACAGCGAGAGGACCTTGCAGGGGCCCTGTAAGGCGGGTGTTCCCATCTGGGGACAGGTGAGGAGGGGACAGGGCATTTGATCCCTTCTGTTTCCCCCTGGCTTTGAGCAGCACCTGGCGCCTGTCAGAACCTACCCACTGCGGACTTGACCGTGCACTAGCAGGTCCCGGCTGCCCGCCTTCCTGTGTGTTCTGCCTGCACCTGCCGCGTGCGGGCTGGGGGAGGTCCAGACCAGTGTCCCTGGGTGGTCCTGGGACCTGCTTGGCCTCCTAACTTGACAGTTGAAGAGCAGGATCGTGCAGAACCTCTGGGCCTCCCTCGGTGGGACATGGCCAGAACCGCAGAGGAAGGAGGGCTGGGACACTTGGGTCCCTTCATGGAGCCCAGAGGCATCTTGCCTGGACAGACAGACTCCTCTGAGGACAGAATGCCGCCCCTGTTATCTATGGAAAGGAGCCCAGGTGCCAACTGGAGCAGCGGGGCCTGGTGGGCCTGGCGCCCGGGTCTGCAGAGCAGAGCAGGGCACCCTCCCGCCAGGGCACCTGCTGTCCCTAAATCCTTTGCCTTCCTCCAGGGTGGCCTGGGCCGCGCTCAGGATGCCTCGCCATGCCAGCCCAGGGAGGGGGCGCTGGGTCCCTGCAGCCAAGGCCGGCTCGACGGTGCCCAGGGACGTCAGGCCTTCGCAGGTTTGTGGGTGCTGCGGTGCATGGAGTGGGGGGCGCCTGAACAACCCCCAGCACAGGGTCAGCCCCTCGGTGTGCAGATGTAGGGGTGGGTGGCCTCCCCCTCTACTGACAGGAGCTGAGGCTCAGAGAGGCAGTGCCACTTGCTCAGTGTCACACAGCCTGGGAAGGTCAGACCAGAGTCTGCAGTGCCTGTGAGGCGTCTTTGACTTTGCCACATCTGGGCAGTCAGACTCACGCCCTCAACCCTGGAAGGGTGGCAGCCAGGGGCCCCGTCAAGTCAGCAGGGTGGCTGCAGGGCCTTGTCTTCACACAAGCCCTGTGGTGACCAGGAGCTGCTGCCTGTCCCCATAGGTGGCAGGTCAGGTGTGAGGACTGAGGCTCACACCTGGCTGGGCAGGCAGCTGCTACCTTGGAACCCTGTCCCTAATCTGTCCCTCAAGAGAGCCCTGCGTCTTAGGACAGGCCCAGGCGTGACTTCTAGGTTCCCTGCCACTAGGCCGGGTTCACAGTTCAATCAGAGCCTCCCTCAGGGCCAAGTGCAGCTCAGGGGGCGTCGCCTGCTCCCTCCACGGTGGGGGGTGCCACCTCCTTGGCCCAGGACACAGAGCTGCCAAGTGAACCCAGGTCCCAGCTGGCCCACCTGTGTTTGTCCCTCTGTCCTCGTGACGGCCGTGCAGGGCTAGGCAGGCCATAGCTATGGCCCGCTTGACAGACGAGGACGCCAGGGTTGGAGGCTGGGGCTCCGCCCAGGGCGTGAGTGCTGCATCTGTGGCCCTGGGCCGGAGTGTGTGGCCTGGAGCCCGGTTTCCTCTGCTCAGCTGCTGCTGGTCATCTGGCCTCTCTGAGCCTCAGCCTCCTCCCTTGACAGAGGGGGTGGGGATCACCAGGCCACCCCAGGAGCCATCATGTGCTCCAGCCCTGGGGAGGAGCTCTGTCTTCTCCTGGCAGCGGGTGGTGTGGTGGCTGGGGACAAGCAGGGGAAGCTGCTAGGGGTCTTTCCAACCCGGGCCGTGTTGCTCCCAGGCCAGCCCTTGGAGGGACCTGGCACCTGCATCTGCACTGGAGCTGGGCCAGGCCCCGAGAGCGCGGACGAACTGTCAGAGGGCCGCACAGGGTCTGCCCGTGAACAGGTGAGGCCTGAGGCTTGGCGTGTGCCCCGCAGGGTGGCCACCTGCGGCAGCTGAGGGGGTGAGGAAGCTCTGCATGTGGAGGAACGTTCTGGAGACGTTGAGAGGGAGACCTGAGGGGATGGACTGCCTTGTCCTGGGACCTGGCTTGGGAATGGGAGGAAGGGGAGCCCCATGTGGACCTGGGCCCGTGGCCACACAGAGGGACCTCATGGAACCCCGTCCCCCAGCTCCTGGGAAACAGCCGAGGAGGCCTGACTCCCAGGGCCGCCAGCCTCAGTGCCCAGCCAGAGCTCCAGTCTCCTCTGCCACGGCCCGCCCCACCCGGCCCTTGAGGTCAGGACCCACCTGCCCTGAGGCCGTGGCCAGTCACTGCCCATCTCAGTCAGGCCACCTCTGACTCCCTGGCTGGAGTCCCCTATCTGATCCCCCCCTTCCCTGTGGCCTGGGCAACATCATTACCTTAGAGAAGCCTCGGGCTAAGACATTCGTCCCAGGTCCTGGGCAGGAGAGGACTGCTCTCCCTGTGGCGGCCAGCTCGAGGGCCCTGGTGTCCTTCTGGCCATGTGGAGAAGAGCCAGAGCGTGTGTGGCGGGGGAGGTGGCACCGAGACCGTCAGGTGAGGTCGGCTCCACGCTGATGGCTCTTTCCATCCACAGCCTCTGGCGGAGCCCAGCCTGGATGGACAGACTCTTCTCCTGGTGTGTGGTTCTTCCCCAGCGCAGCACATGGACGGGTCACTCATCGCCCTGGACCTGGCCTGGGTTTCAGAGGGCCTTAGAGCCGCCCAAGCCCAGGAGCCCTTTCTCCAGGTGCAGACATCCACGCTTCCGCTCCGGGGGCTGGCTGGGGCCCCTGGGCTCCTGCTGCCACTGCTGTCCCAGGAAGCTCCCCCAGAGGAGCTCCAAGACCTGCTGGACACCAGGTCCACCCCTGCCCCCAGTGCTGCGGCACATCCCAGCTGGTGTTGTCACCAGACAAGGAGTCCCGACGCCTCCCCGCGCCAGGGGTCTCCATGCACTTCAGATCCCCCATATCCCATGGAAGGGTCCAGCTGCAGAAAAGACACTTGGAACAGGGGAGGAGGGACCCCAGCAGGGGGAGCTGGACCCGGGGAGGCGAGGACCTCGGGCAGGATCGAGGGAGAGCTTGGTGGCAAATGCCAGCCAGGTCAGGAGAGCTGTGAGGACCCGAGTGTGGGGAGTGGGGTCTGCTCTCCAGGGGGCGTGGGGGACCAGAGTGTGACTTTGGAGACACAGGCCACTGCCTACTGCCCTTGGCTCTGGCAGGAGTGTCCAGCGCCTCCTTTGCAGGGGGAGGACTCCACAGAGGAGCCTGAACCCCTGAGCAGGAGGCAGAAGGTGGGAGGCTGTGGCCGGGGCCTCCTGGGAGGACTGTCACCAGAGGAAGAGGCTCACGGGACTAGCGCTTCACGGCCAGCTGGTGGTCAGCTCCCTGCAGGGAGGAGCAGAGCCCTCGAGAGGCGGGTTCCAGGCAAGCAGGACAGCCGACAGGGGTGTGGAAGTGCTCTGCGTTCCCCAGAGGGAAGCCCTGGGGCTGGGGGACAAGAAGAGGAGGAGGAGGAGGGGCTCCGTGGAGAAGCCTCCAGTCTGGGGAATGGGCCTGTGCCCCGGGAGCTGGACTTCAGGCAGTGCCAGGGCAAGGAGACTCTTCCCTCGGTGGCAGGGTGTGGCTTGCCGCAGTCTCCCAGACTGGCTGTTCCAGGTGAAGACACTGGTCCCCCTCGGGCTCTGAGCAAAGGACAGGATAGATATTCTCTCCAAATAGATGCACTTGAGCGGGACGTGGAGGCCTGTTTCCAGCAACTGAACACCCTGAAACTTGGCAGCCGGGGTCACCAGCGGGAGATGGCCCTCGTGGTGGGAGAGAACTGGAGCTTTGCTCAAAGGAGGCAGAGCAGAGGTGAGGAGAGTGGAGAGGCCACCAGCCTCGATCAGACTGTGGCCCGGGACACCAGCAGAGCTGTTGCAGGGACGTCCCCTGATCAGGAGGAAGCCAGCCTGGACCCTGCAGAGCTCCACAGGGACGCGCTCTCCACACTCTGGCACACCCTCGAGAGGGCCAGGGCCGCGTTGCATCAGCTTCTTTCCTCACTGAAGAAAGCGAGGAGCCCGGTCTTATGTGACAGGGCTGCACCTCGGGAAGACCTAGGGGGATGCTCTCCTAAAGCTTGCCATCTCGAGGCAGAGGGCCCGCGACGCGCAGCCCGGGTGTGCCGCCTCCAGCAGGCCAACCGGGCGCTGGAGGGAGACCTGGCCCAGCTCAGGAGGGAGCTGGGCCAGTACGCGCAGGCCATTTCCGACCTGGAAGAGTGCAATGTGCAGAGTTACGGCAAGATCTCGGAGCTCAAGGAGGAAAACGACAAACTGAAAAGGGATCTGGGCCAACTCCGGAGGGCCATGTCCCAGAGCGCCAGGGAATCCCGCGGCCCCGGGGAGCACGTCGCCCTGGAAAGCAGGGAGCTCAAGGCACCGATTTCGCAGCTTGGGGTCAGCTATAAAGAGCTGGTAAGGGGTGTGGGGCTGGGGGTGGAAGGCAGGGTCCGGGCCTCCCAGGGGGAGAACGAGCGCCTTCTACGCAGGGTCCGAGCCCTGGAGCAGGAAGTGGCCTTGCAGACCAGGGGGGACAGGGCACGCTCGTTGGGAGGCCGTCAGCAACCCCAGGAAAGCACCAAGGCGGCGGTGGACAAGGTGTGCACCATGGACAGAGGGGTGCAGGTGACTCCCCTCTCGGAGCAGCAGGTCACAAGCCCCTGCGGGCCACCCTTGGAGGAGGCAGTGGGCGTCCCTGGAGGGCAGACAGGCCCTGCCTCAGACCTGCAGGATCCCGGATGTGGCGCTGGTACTACTGCTCCATCACTGGTCTGGAGAAATGCTGACGTCCCCCGTGTCCTGCGAGGAAGGGGCGGAGCAGGAGGAGGAGCAGCATGTTTGGAGGGAGAGGAGAAAAGGCCATGGTGTTCCCACCAAGGGCACGCTCTGAGGACCTCACGCAGCGGCCCCCAGGTAAGTGGACCTGCTGGCCTCCCTGGTGCTGGCTGGCTCCAGGGCCCCCTGCAGACCCAGGTATTCCTCCAGCATCCCTGGGGGGAGGTGCCATCACCAGCCCCCAACAGGTGACTAAACACCGGCACAGAGAAGTGAAGGGTCTTGCCCAAGGTCACACAGCAGGTGAGGGTGGAGCTGGGACTTGCCCAGGAGGCTGGCTCCAGATCTCCGTGTGTCCTATGGTAAGACTTCAGCCTGCCCTCCATGGGCCCCGAGGAGCTCCCCCACAGGACGCCCAGGAAGGATCCCCCATGCCCCCGTGTGCTGGTCCTGCCTGAGGGACCCTCAGTGCTGAGCCCGTGTCCACTCGGCCTTCTCACTCAGTCTCTCCTTTCCACTCTCGGGCACCCTTCCTCCTTCTCCCGTCTCCTTCTCCCTCCTGCCCCTCCCCTCTCCCCACACCTACCATTTATCCCATTTCAGAAAACCAACTTCTGGTTTTACTGATTTTCTTTATGGTTTGCTTGTGTTTTACTTCGCTGGCTTTTTCTTACATCTTCCTTTTCTTTGTTTAATTTGCTCTTCTTTTTCTTCCTTCTTGTGTAGAAAGCTCAGATCATTGATTTTTCAACTCTTTTATTTTTTGTAATCTATGCATTTAAAGACCTAATTTTTTCTAAGCATCCTACTGATTTTTTTTAAAATATTTATTTTTCAGGTGTAGTTGGACACATGCCTTTATTTATTTATTTACTTTTATGTGGTGCTGAGGATCGAACCCAGGGCCTCGCATGTGCTAGGCGAGCCCTCTAACGCTGAGCCACAACCCCAGCCCCCATCCCACTGATTTTGACTCGGTGTCTGTTCAGTTCAAAGTACTGTAGCTTCTAATATCTATTGTGATCTCTTTGACCCAGGGTTTATTCAGAAACATGTGACTTAATTTCCAGGTTTCTGGGGGAGTTATTGGCTTTATTTTTGTTACTGAGTTCTAGTTTTACTTCATGGTTATCAGAAAGCATGTACGATATTACTTTACTTTTTTTGAAACTTATTTAACTTGTTTTATGGACAGGGTATGGTCTATTTTGCTGAATATCCCACATGCCCTCATAAGCAATGAATACCCTGCAACTGGCGAGTACTAGTTAGTGGTACTAACTAGGCTGGGATGACTGCATCTTCTCATCTTCACTAGTGTGTGGTCTGTTCTCTTTGTCACTTACCAAGATGCATTTCAAGATCTCCAAGTCCGAGTGTGTGTTTGTGGATTCCTTCCTTCAGTTATGTTGTTTTTCACCGCCATATTGTGATGTTTAAAATCTATTTGCTATTTTTTCTATTTGTCTTATCTACTCTGTTTCCTTTTATTCTTTCTTTCAGGACTTTGCTTTTGGTGTTAGTCTCTTTTTAAATCATTATTGATTATTCCCTTTCCTCTCAGTAGCTTGTGGTATCATGCATTCTAGTTCATTCTTTTAGTGATCACCCAAGAAATCCCAAATGTATCTGTTGATTACCTAAATATTTCTTAAATTTGTATTTTCGCCACATCTCGGATTATGCAGAACCTTTATTTGGGTCCCACTCCCGTGTGTGGCACACCTGTCCCCTCGCAGCTGTTAGTGGTCACGGATCGGGTTGCTCTCCTGTCTTTCTGGCTGTGCTGTTTCTCACTCTTCCTCGCCCGGGTCTGGTTTCCTTCTGCCTTAAGAGCATGCTGAGGGCTTCCTGGTGATTGACTCTTCATAATTCTTTTTATGAAAGCAATATTTTTCACCACCCAATTTAAAACACGGGGTTGTAGGCGGCCCGCCTTCTCCCTTCCTTTGTAACCTTAAAAGTCTTGTTCCACTGTCTCCTGCCTCCCGAGTTCCTGTCCAGGGATCTGTTACAGTGACCATTTTCACTCTGAAAGACATGTGTTGCTTCCTTTCTGGCTACTTTTCACATTTCCTTTTTGTCTGTGGGTTTGTTTTGTGGGCAGCTTGACTGGACGTGTGTGGGTGAGGGGGTATTTGTGTTGATCCTGGGTTTTTCTGAGATTTTTGAAGTTGAATATTCATGTCTTTTATCAGACTTGAAAAATTCTTGCTTGTTATTTCTTCAAATATTTTATTCTGCTTTATTTTTCTCTTTCCTCCTAGATATCTAGGGTTTTGGTCTGAATATCACATCTTTTGAAAACGGTTATTTTTTTCCTCTTTGTGCTTCAGGTTGCATTTCTATTGACTCATCCTCTAGTTTGCCAATCCTATGTTCTACTGTGTCAGGTTTTGTTAATCCACCCAATGAGGTCCTAATTTCAGTGATTGTATTTCACAGGCCTAGAGAATCCATTTTATTCTTTTTTTTTTTTTTAGAGATTCTGGTTGTCTATTGACACGCTCCATGTTTTTATTCATTTTGTTCACCTTTTCATATGAAAAAGTGAGATCATAGTTATTTTTCAGGTCTTTCTTATGTGCTAACTCCAGTATCTAAACCATCTCTTTGCCTGCTTCTATTGGTAGTTTTACTTCTTGGTGAACATTTACCTGCTTCTTTACCTGTCTAGTAATCGAAAGAACTTTTTTGCTTGACTTTGGGGGGTTGTGGAGATTGCTGATGACCATTATCCTCTAGAGAGGGCGAACGGGTTCTGTTCTGGCTGGCCACTGGACGTCTGACAGGTTGTCGACTGATCAGCAGGTCCTCTTACTCCCCGGCAGGTCTCTGGCAGCCCCAGGGCTTGCTGTGACTCCCAGGGTGTGGCCTTCTCTCTAGGTCGGGCCTTTCAGTGGCTTCAGCTCAGTGTGCAGAGCCTTCACTGAAGCTGTTCACCTTGCTTTGGCCAGAGTGCTGCCATCATCTTGGTGGCATGTGACCTTGGAGCTCTCTTGGGCAGCAGGCCTCCCAGTGGCTGTCCCCTGCAAGGTTCTCAGTCTTGAAACCACACAGGCTGTGATTCAGCCGAGGCCCTGAGGGGCATTTCTAGGACAGTGTCTGGGTTTCTTCTCTGTTTGTCCCACAATCCCCAGCTGTCTCAGCGTCCCTGAGCTCAGTCCCTTGTCCCCGACCCAGAAATGCTACCACTCTCATCAGGGTGTTCTTTTCTTTAATAAATGTTTGAAAACATTTCAGAGAGAGACCCAGGGAACTTGGAGGGAACTTGCCCTATTGTATTCCTTTTTCTCGAGATCTGTGGTCCTGCTTGGCTACCCTCCGGTGTAGGCGCAGAACTATTTTTATGTGTTCTCCCCGATCCCGTAGTTTTCCGATACCAGCTGTTCTGACCTGGGGCGGACTGGGATCTAAGGAGGCGACTATGGGGCCACAGCTTCCAAGGTTGGGAAGAAACGGTGGGGAGGGGATGCCAGGCAGTGGCCAGGCTCTGCGGCAGTGGGGAGCCAGGCTTGCTGAACAGGAGGGGGCTGGTGCGACTTGGCAACTGTGGACCAGCCGAGGCTGGGAGGAGGCGAAGTTGGAGAAACTGTCCGCAGAAGGATCCCAGGAGGCTGCTAGGCTCCCGCTGACCATTCTGAATACAGTGGGATTTTGAGCAGGAGAAATACAGGACCGAAGGCATGAAAAGTGACTGCTGCGAGGAGAGGGGACAGTGGGCTATGGGGAAGCAGTGGGCAGAAGGAGTCTGGGCTCTGTAGACAAGAGGCGCAGCAGCTGAGAACCTAGGTCAGTAACTAAGTAGAATCCGTGGGACTGGGGTTGGACAGAGGAAGGGGTGAAGAAAGTCCCCGTTTCTGTCACCCTTAGTCTCAAGGCTGGCCATGCCACTCTCGGGCCCAAGACCCTCCTGAGGCTACTATCACACTAGGTGCGAAAGCCAGCCGCTCACGTGAGCAGTGCCCTGGCCCTAGGCTCTACAAGATTCAGCTCTGCCCACTGCACTCCCAGGGGCCATCGGCCTGGATTCTCTGCATCCCTCACCTGCCCTCTCTGCACCCCAGCTTCCTCCTAGCAACTGCTGCCCACCCTTAGGACTCGTTTTGGGGGGCAGCCCTCAGCCTGGGCTAGGGGAAGAGGGTGTTGGAGCTGACTCGTGCTCACCTCTCTCTCTGTGTGTTCACTGCGTCGTCTGGTCTGGGTGGCTTGCAGCCAGTCCCAGTGGGAGCTTTGACACCGTAGGACTGGGGCACAGGCATTGCCCTACCATGGACCTTGGTGCTCAGCCTCCTGCAGGCTTCTGAAGCCTCCAGTTGCCCTTTACCACACGGTGTTAATTGCTTGTGTCTGTGTCAGTCTTCCCACCTGCCAGAGTTCCTTGAGGGAAACATGTCACCACTGTCCCCAAGGCAAGTTCAGTGCTCAGTCAGAGCGTAGCTCACATGTCTGCCTATAGAGCAAGCTGGGTGACCTGCAGCCAGGCCCTGACCCTCATTCTCTTGAGAGGTTGCTGTGCACACTTTCCTAGGACCTGTGGGGACAAAGCCCTTGTCCAAGTCACTGCCAGAGGGGGGAGGCAACAGTGAGACACCAACTTCCCAAAAGGCCAAGTTGTTTTGAAGTCTTGGAGCTGAATTGGATGGAAGCATTCGGAGCACCCATCTGTTCTTGACAGGGCCCAGCCTGTGAATCTCAGGCCCACGCAGCGTGAATTTCTGTTAATTAAAAAACAACATCACATTCTGCTCCTGTGGTCCCAGTTCACACGGAGAGGCCCTTCAGCCATGGACCCACAGTGGACTGCCTGCTGGCCCTTCTCCCCTCTCCTCTCTAGTTGCCCAACAGAAGAGCTCGGGATTCCCTTCCACCCGCTCCCACTGGGTCAGGAATGGTGGAAGATGGAGCTTCGTGGGCCTTAAGCCTCCCACGCGACTGCTCTAGGTCCAGGTGGACTGCCCCGGTCCAGGGAAGGACGTTTCTTGCTGCTGGCTGCTGCTAGCCATGCTGCTCCTTCCTGAGCCACCCTGCTGTACCCTGAGCTTACTGATGCCCCACCCTTCGACCTGGAAGCTCCCCTCCTATGATCCTAGGGAAGACTCCAGAGGCCTGTTCAATGTTAGAATAACCCCAGCGCCCAGCATGGCCACAGAAGGCCACCCGCATCCTGACAACAGCATTTTCAGCAGCATTTGGCCACAGGGGAAACTCGGGCCTGGAGTTAAGGGAGAAAAGTCGAGGATACGTGTTGCTTATTAGCTTTCATGAAGGAGAATCTGTGGGTGCGTGTGAACACATATAAACCCGAGTCTGAACGTGGGTGTACGTTATTCTAATAATCGGGACTTAGAATCCAGGACCATATGGGGGGTGTCCCTTGTTTAGCCCACTTCCTACAGGGCCGTGGCCTCCCACAGGTCCTTTGCAGCCAGGGGAAAGCGTGGCCCTCATGCTCCGTCCAAGAAGGCCTAAGGCTGCGCTCATGGGAAGTCAGCATTTTCTGTTTTATATAAAGACATGAAGCTTGAACGGATTCAGTGTCTGATGATTTGACTTGGACGTGAAATTCCATCCATGGGACTCTCTTTGAGGACAGCGGCCAGGGACCACTATTAAAGCAGACTGTGGCTCAACAAACTGCACGTGGCATGTTTTTGAGAATAATGTTCTCGGTTGTTGTTCTGGGGTTCCCTGGACCCTCCCGACACTCCTCGGGACCCCAGTGTGATCCTTGCACTCGCCCGTGGACAGGAGGGACAGTGGAAAGGCATGGAGGAGGCGGGGCCGGTACCCACCATTCGGCTGGCTGGTGGGATTCGGGGTGATCTTTGTTCCCTTATTTTCTAAGTTCTTTTTATTCTTTCTGTGAGGAAAATATAGGTAGACCACATAAAGCGGGGGGAATGGGTACCCGAGAACCTAAGTCCATCCAGATCTGTGCCTTCCGTAGCTCCAGGACGCAGAGGCCGAGGCCTCCGAGGAGGACCCCAGGCTGTGTGTCCAGCGGCTCCGTCACCAGATGCAGACCCTGAAGTGCCAGCTCAGAGACCAGGGGTGGGTGCACCGGGAGCGGCAGGAGGAGCTCAAGGGCAAGGTAGGCGGGGCCAACACCTCTTCGTGGGGAGCACTCTGCTCCCAGGGCTTGGTAATGTCTATTAGATATTTAAATATAGGTTGGTGTAAGGAAGGAAAAGAAGGGGACTGTCATTCCTCCAACCAGTAGCCTCTGATAAATAAAATTTTTAAATGCACACATATATGGTTTTTACACAGCCTTAAAGTTTACATAAAGAAAGGTCAAGCCCTTGCTCTGCGGGAACGGGGTGGGTGTGTCCTGAAAGGCCTGGAGAGGATTCCTGCGCTGTCCCAGCTACCAGGATCAGGGTGGGGTGGCCACATGCAGCCTCCATGGGGTGAAATTGCATTGACCGAGCACATGCTCATGTGAAACCACAGGAGCCCAAGTAAAGTCAGGGGTGGCATCGACGCAGTCCCTCATTGGACATTACACTGCAGTCTTACAAAATGTTCCTGAGGAGGAAACTAGACAAAACACACAAGGGATCACTCCATCATGTCCTACAATTGTATGCAATTCTGAGATTATCTCAAATTTTAATTCATATGAATTGACACATAATAATTGTGCACAGTCTTTCACATAGAAAATCCTAAGGAGTCCATAAAACACTAGAACTGAGGAACAATTGGATATGTGATTTGAAAGGCAGTTTCTCCTCATCTACAGCTCATCTTCTCACTTTTTAATTGCAAACGTCCACACACTCATTCCAAAGCAACACACTCATGCCATTTCCTAAACCAAGGTGGGGAGAAGGTCTCATGGAATCCTGCAAATATCATTAAGTGCCTTTTGAATATGAGACAGACTGCTTGAAGCTGAAATTTTGCATATATTCCAAAAGGTATCCCCAAACAGGCTTATCCATGAAGGCTTGTTTATTAAGCAAAGAAATGGAAGCAGAAAAATTCCCATAAACAAAGAAGTGGTTTGTTTCTGCCTCATGGTGGAAGAATACTCATGTTTGAAAGGGATGAGGTTGGTTTGCACGTGTTCCTGTGGAACTCGCACCAGGGTTTTCCATCAAACGACAAACACGATGCAGTGTATTTTGCATAGTGTAATTCTGTAAGCACACACACACGCACACGTACACACACGTTCTGATGCATGTGGGCATGGGAGGCTGAAGGACTATCTTAGGCCAGAAGAGGTTGGGGACCTCTAATGTAGCTATTTGGGTTTTCACTATTGGAAAGCGCTCAGGCATAGCCACAGCCTCACATCTTATGGGGCAGGATTTCAGATGGGACTCGGCTGGGCACAAGTGGGGGTTACTCGGTGGTCACTCACTGGACGCTGGACTAGGCTGGAGGGTCCAAGGTGGCCCCATGCACATGTGCCTGGCACCTCTGCAGGGTGGCTCAGAGGCAGCACACCCAGACCCTCTGCCCTCTGTTTTGGGCCTGTCTTGTGTCTTACTCTGAAAAGGGTTGAAAGTGGACACTCCAGTCCTCTTGAAGGCCAGGCTGGGTGTCACTTCTGCTGTTATGGGAGCCAAGCACCACGGGCCAGACCAAATTTGAGAGAGGGTCCTGACTCCCCTCTCCAGGAGCCGCTTCAGAGCAACTGTGTCCACCGTTAGCCCCCAGGCATGATGAAGAGAGCTGCCATCCACCGGGTGCCCACTGAGGCCAGGTTGACTCTCAGTCTTTCTGTCATTCAATCCACAGTGTCCTCGCTGCAGGCCTCACCCTGAGTGGACAGTGACATCCCCCCAGTTGGTGAAAATACTGAGGCAGAGGGACTGGCAGGGGGTGTCAGTGAGTGGCTGAGTGGTGCCACGAGGCTGGAAGTCTCTGGGCTCTGTGAGGGGCTCGGGACCAGGCGTCCTTCCCCACGGAAGCAGCCTCAGAGCTGGCCGCTGAGATGCGGCCTGGCAGAGTGCCTTCTGCAGGGCCACAGCCTCCGTCCCGCTCAGTGGGGATGGAAAAGGCCCCGTTCCTGGCCGAGTCCTCATGCAAGGAAAGGGGGCGAGGAGGCAGGGGTCAAGCCGAGCCCACTGCCCGGGGAGGCCGGGATGGCCAGCAGCGGGGCATGATGTGACCAAGAATGCTTCCTTGGCAGCTGGAAGAGCTCCAGAGAAAGCAGCATGAGGCCGACGTGGCTGTGGCCCCGCTGAAGGTGAGGGGACCGTGACGTCAGCGCCACCTGCCTCCTTCAAACCGCCTTTGCATTTCCCATCCCCCGGCACACAGATGCTAGACTGAAGGGGGAAGGAGAGAAAATCCCCCACGTCACTGTTTGGAGCTAGCGTTCCACATATTTCCTCCCACGCCTGAGATCAGCCACCTTCATCAGCCAAGTGACCCACATGCTTGGGTCCTGCCTGGTGGCATGATCCTGAAGGTGCCACGCACTGTGACCTACCCTCCAGGCCTTGGCGGTGGAGAGTGCTCCAGGGCTTCAGTTCAAAGTGCCCTGCTGGTGGCTTTGCCGTTCAGTCCTGGCGTGTGTCTGTCCGGTGTCTCTGTCTCTCCCTTCCCCCTGCCTCTCTCGATGTCCCACAAGAACACTGACTTGCATTTTCCTTGGAGCGTCCCCACCCATCCTGACGTGAGCCTCTGGGACAAATTCCTAAGAAGGGCTCTGTGGCCTGCGGGCTTCCGTGTTCTCTGCTGGGGGCCTGGAAGCTGGCTAGGGTGACACCTCCGATCTGGGCCTGGATCGGGAAGGGTGGGAGGGTCTCTTCTTCCCTCTGGTCTCTGGGCGGGTGGACAGGGAGGAGCCTGGGCGTCAGCAGAACATGGTGACACCAGGACCCCCACAGCCCTCTGCCCTTTGGGCCTCTGTTTCCTCAACTGTTCAATCAGAAGTGCAGGCCGCACAGTCCCTAAGTCGCGTCCCTCCCAGAGTCCCCATCCCATCTGAGCTTCACCTGTGCCTCTGTGAAATAGAAACCTCAGTGACTCCTGCTGAGAACTCGTGGAAAGTCAACTGTCAAGCTCAAAAACACGGGGCTGCCACCCCGCCTCCGGGTTTATCATTTGTCACATGCCACTGGTTTAAACGAGGACCCTGGTCCCTTGTGCTTAACAAACGAGCACCCTGTGGAGGCTGTGTCTGCAGGTCTCCTGGTGCCCTGGACAGCCCCGTGGCACAGAGGGGCACATCCAGGTGTGGAAGGGAGCCTGGCCTCAGCGATAGGGCCCAGGTCCATGCTCTCCACCCTGGACCCATCGGAGGGCAGCAGGGAGCCCTGGGGCCGGGCTGCTGGGTGGAGGAAGCATGTGGGGGGGCTGCTGCCCTGGGCTGAGGCAGAGCTGGGTGTGGGAAGCAGGGAGCCGCCCGCCCAGGTCCCCCAGCCCTGCCGTGCAGCCCTGTGGGAGCTCTGCACCCACATTCCTCTTCTGTCAGGCCAAGCTGGCTTCCCTGGTCCACAAGTGCCTACGGAGGAACCACCTCATCACCCGGCTACTGCAGGAGCTGGGCAGACACGGGCCCGTCGACCTCTTGCTCTCTGAGATGGCCCAGAACATGGTCCACGACGTGGCACTGTCCGAGTATGCTGCTGCCTTCCTGAGCCCTGGACTCCCAGAGGTACATTCCCACAGACAGCTCCGTCCAGCCCTGCCAGCCCCGTCCAGGCCTGCCCAGCCCCGTCCAGCCCTGCCCAGCCCTGTCCAGCCCTGCCCAACCCCATCCAGCCCTGCCAGCCCATCCAGTCCATCCAGCCCTGTCCAGCCCTGCCCAGCCCCATCCAGCCCTGCCAGTCTGATCAGCCCTGCCAGCCCCGTCCAGCCCTGCCCATCCCCGTCCAGCCCTGCCAGCCCCATCCTCTGCCTCCCTCCAACTCCACCTGGCTGTTCCCCTGGGCCAGTGCCTGGGCTCCGGGATGGTGGGCAGGTGCACCTGGCAGTCCTTTACCCTGAAAGTGTCCATGGCACAGTGCACGGGATGGACCCAAAGAGGGATCATAGCTCAGTCCCAATCATGATGTCATGCCACCCATGTGACTGCTATACACCGTGACTCTGGGCCTTGGCCCTGCCACCTCCTGCAGGAGACATGGTCCATCAGCAGCCTCCATCTGTCCTTCAAGGACATCCCATGTGTCCTTGCCCAGGTAGTGGCCCTGAATCTTCAGGACTACAATTAGCCACACCCCCTCTCTGTCCTCCTTGCATGTGACTTGTGTGATGTGGCACATGTAGGGGATTGTCCCCATGTTGCCTGAGGAGTTCCTTGGCACCTCTTGGCTGGGACAGAGACACTCTGTAGCACTCTGTCTCTTTAGTGCCTGGCACCGAGAAGCTGCTCGGGGTTTTTGTTGAGTGATGAGCTAGTGAGACAGATGATGAGGGTCTCCTGTCCTGAGGGTCAACAGAAGAGGAGACTGAGGCCGTCAGTTCAGGAGTCTCACCACAGGCCACGGGGTGAGGGGCACCAGTTCTCACTGGTCCAGGTCCAGAGGAGGCCCTTTCTGGGCTCTGCCTGGCGCTGAACAGCAGCATCTTGGGTGCCCATGGGTGCTCAGCCAGGTCTTCCCACGCACACACATGCAGCCCCGTTCCTGGGGACAAGCCAGCTACGCCCCCACCAGTCTAGTTCTGCTCCTGATGGTGCGAGGACAAAGCACAGCTCTTGCAGTCCACAGTGGGAGGTGCCCCCTGGCTGCTCTTGCTCCAGCCCTGGCTGCAGGGCTTCCTGGCTACACCACCCATGCAGAGGCTCCTCCTGGTGCCCCTAGCTCTGCCCCAGCAGGACAGTCTTCTCCATCCCTTCCTTACCCCCCCCCCGACTCTGAGAGTCCTAGATGCCCCCCAGGCCAAACCACTGCGCGGCCCAGGAGATGGAGACCTGGGGCCCACCAGGCCTGCCTAGGGCCTCGGTGACGTGGTGCAGAGCCAGAGCTTGAATGCAGAGCCCCAGACTCCAGGTCTAGTGCTCTTCTCTGCCCCAAAGTTCATGCTCTTCAGAGCTGGCATAGGGATGAGGAAAGAGGGTAGAATCGTGAAGTGCCTGACATAGTCCCTGGCACTCAGTAGGGCCTAATAACTGTGTCGAGTGAGGCAGGACTGAAGCAAAGTTCCAGGAAGTGTGGAATGCAGTGTGGGGGGCTGCTGACTGTCTGCAGAGCAGGCGTGTGGCAGCGAGGGCCCCACTTCCCCTTAGTCTACAGGCCCAGCAACGACATCCAAAATGTTCACTGGGATTGGCCAGGCTGACTGACGAGGACTGAGCCCAGACACTGAGGCATAAGTCAGAGCATTAATTATCTAGGGAAATGAACTTTAGCAGAAGTTCAAGTATTTTTTGAATCATTGTAGTTATTTGTGACATGGGCTGGGATTTGTTGCAGGCTGAAGTATCTTGCAGGCGAGGTGCAGGCGATGGATAAATATGTCAGCACATTCTTTTCCTCTAGTTATCCAGAAAGTCAAATTCATAATCAGTGTGTTCATTTGTTAGTTGGTAACTGTTTACAGGCAGAAGGTCACTTGGGAGCCTGGAATGAGAACAGGGAGCGTTGCTGCTGTCACTGGCCTGACGCCTCCATTTCCTGTGAGGATGTTGTCCTGGGCTGGACGGGCCTCCCCTCAGCCAGGATCCAGTCCTTTGAGAGGCCACTGTCAATTTCCACAATGCCAGCTGCGCTGGCCTCTGCATTCCTGTCCAGTCTTGACTGAGCCCAGCCTCGCTCCCTCTGTTGAGGTGCCTTTTTTCCTTCCTGATCCATCTGGCACTATTCAGAGGACACCCCCAAGTGCATGGTCTGCAAACCCAAAACCTGGCTCTGCGGTTTCACGCCACACACTTACTGAGCACCTACTGGCTTGAGCTAGGCCTGGTGCAGGTCCTGGGGAGAAGTGGAGACCAGACAGGCCAATACCTGCACATGGACCAGGGAGGGGTGACGGCGCCTCATGGTGAGCATTGGGAAAGAAACATGCCCGGGTTCAGTCGGGTGCCAGCTCACACAGGGTGTTCTCTGAGCCTTCAGTTTCTCATCTGTAAAATGGGGATAGTTCAGCTGCTGGAAAGAAAGGTGCTGAAGCCTTGTGCGGGTCAGAGCCTGGTCCTTGTATGGGCAGATGCCAGGGCCTGGGGTTCCTGAACCTCTTAGCTCTGCCACTGTCTAGCTCTGTGACCCTGGCAGAGGACACTTACAGATCATGCTGGCCACACCAGGACATCACTGTTATTCCTCTCAAAAGGCTCAAGGGGGTGCCAGCCTTGCTCAAAGACACACCCCTCCTTCCAGCACCTGACCACTGTTGCCCACCTGTGCTGCCATCTGCTGACGGCTGTCCCCCCACGTCTCTGGTCAGCAGCATCCCAGGTTGCTGCGTCGCCTGAGTCTCCTTCTCCAGCTCTGCTGGTCCTCTCCAGCTCTGGCTATCTGGGGTCAATTCCATGAGGTCCCCTCTGAGCCCTCACCTGACAACACCAGGGTCTTGCCACCTCCTTGGTTTCAGGTGGAGATGGAACAAGGGGACTGTAGGTTTCCTCTGTTCTTGCACCCCTGAAACCACTCTGGGCATGAATGCCACCCTCCTTCACGTTCACCTTGAGTGGGCAGCTCTTGGGCAGCTCCTGGGCCTCTTTCCTGTCCTCCCCTCCTCTCTGTACCCCGGCCCCAGGGGAATCTGTTTTTCTAGCTTTCACTTAGACTCAAGTTGTGGACATTCACATGCCAAATGTGACACCCTTTTTTGTTTGTACTTGGTTATATTGTCCCCTCCTGGTGACCTGGGAGGCAGGAGCCCGGATGCCACAGGAGGTGGGAGGAGCGCAGGGCTCGCCTAGGAGTGGGCCCTGGCTAGTGTGGCAGCTCGTCCCTGCTCCCACCTGGGTGACCTTGTCCCAGCTCTGGCTTGGGGCTTGCATGACAGACAGAAGGTCCAGTAGAGGAGCTGACAAGCTGGCCCGCCCCCAGCCTCCTGTGCTCCTGGGTGTGTGGCTTGCTGTCCTCTCTCCAGGCACAGAGCCACCTGCATGTGAACATGCCAAGATCCTGCAGAAGCTGTGACCTTGTGCTGTTCCTTTGCTCTGTAAGCCACCTGTTCTCTTAGGCCAGGTAGAGGTCACCATCCTCACCAGGACTCTGTGAGGTTTGAATGAGACCCATGTCAAATGCTCAGGGCAGCACCTGTCACAGCCACCAGCCACATTCAAATCAAAAAAGTGTCCCTGCCCTGGGGAGGCCGGGACCCTGGCTGGACTTGGCAAAACACAGGGTGACCTGGTCAGGAGCTGCTGGCCCTGTCCTCCTGCCTCCTGGGAACACCTTGTTTCCTAGTGGGCACAGTCAGGGAGACCCACGTGGCCTCAGAACCAGGGCCTCATTGGAAGAGGAGTGTGGAGACTGGGATAATGGAGCAACCCCTCAAAGCCCTGAGCTCCCTGCAGTCATGAAACTGGCGACCACAGCCCAGCCTCCAAGGGCTCAGGCAACGGTTTTCTCCTTGGCTCCTGCCCTTGAGGATTGTTCCTGGAAAGCTTTGTGGGCGCTGCGGCGGCAGCGGAGAGCAACACCAGCTCTGCTGGCCCTGCTCTCTGGAGCTCTGGAGGTTCCTCTCTCCCTTCAGCAGGACTTACATGGAGGCCGGGGGTCCTGCCCTGCAACCCGGGGTAGGAGGTGGGTTGGGAGAGCTCCCCGACTCAGCCGAGCTCCCGGAACTTGTAACTGCAGAGCTGGGTTGGGCCTGGGATGCCCCAGTCGCCAGGAGTCACGTGCCTGTCTGGCCCATCAGAATGCAGAGCCGCAGCAGCCAGTTTAGTGCATGTGCAGATTTTCTGGGGATGTGAGGGCAAATGGAACCTCGTTGTCACAGGGAAGGAGTCGCCACCTGGGGAGGGTGCCTGGCTCTGTCAGCGAGGGCAGTGGTTGGGAGCAGCCGTGATGAGCAGAGCCGGGGCCAGGTGGGGCTGTGCCCTGGAGGAGGAAGCTCTGGACCAAGCCTGGGAGGAGCAAAGGCGCTCCAGCTGGACAGCTGGAGGGGTCCTGGGGGCTGGGAACCTGCAGCTACAGAGGCAGGGCCTGCAAGTTCATGTACTTGAAGACAGCTGCGTCTGAGGGGCGGAAGGGAGTCCAGGCTTCCCTGCTGGAGTGGTGCTCTGCCCATGAGCCACTGTCAAAAAACCACAGGCTGACAAGCAGTGGACAGGCCTGACCGCCCAGGCGTAGTGGGGCCGCAGGCAGAGGCTGCGGTGCCTGCCCACCCCCCCATGATGGCCTGCCTGAGAGCCCAGGGGCCACGGCAGCCCCTCCTGGAGAAGAGCCAAGGTCTCAGGATAGTGCCCACCGAGTTCCTATTGACCTGGAGCCCCGTAGGTTAGGCACCCTCTGTGCTCCAAGCACGGGCCAGCAGAGGTTTCCCCAGGCACAGCGGTGGGCTTGGGGTATCAAGCTGAGCAGGGTCCTTGCCCTGGGGGTTGGTCAGTCTGTGTGAGTTCTGGCTGCTGCCTGGTCTGGGCTCTGTGACAGGCGAGTGGCCGAACTGTGCCAGGAGCTGGCAGGGAGGGCCACTCAGGGCGTGACACACTCAGAAGGTCCCCAGGGAGCAGGGGGCTTCCAGGCAGGGGCTGAGCTGGGCCAGCACACAGGGGGCTCTGGACGGGTGTTGAAGTGGAGATAGGGAGGGGACATCAGGGCTCCCTCCTGCAGGCCACTGCTCCACCAGAGACACCCCAGGGGAAGCAGGGTCTGGGCTGCTGGTCTGGAGCCAGCTGCAGTCTGCCCTGAGGATCCCACAGTTGTCTCATTCCACTGATTGGGGGCTGCTGGGGTGACCTGCTGAGTGGCCACTGCTGCCCCTCTTATAGACCCTGTGGAACCATGTGGCTGTGGGTGCAGGAGGTAGACTCAGGCTAAGCCCCACCGGAATCCCCATGGGACAGAATCAGGGGCCCCAGGAGATGCTGAAGTCCACATTAAAGTTTATTTTAATGGCGGATTCTTAAAAGCATTTGTTACCAGCTCCATTTAGAGATTTGATAAGTAAATGAACTGTTTCCTTGTGAGTATCTCCTGGGAGCAGGGAGGGAGGTGCCCACCGCCTCCTCCAGCAGAGCTGATGCCACCCCAGACTCTGTGTGGGGCGAGCAGCCGCCCTGAGAGCCCCGGCTTTGGGCTTCTGAGCAAGGCTTTCTGTCCTGTGCCAGAATGACCACTCGGGTATCTTTTCTTCCAGACAAGCCACCACCTGGACGTCGGCTCCCAGGGGACAGCAGCTGCAAGAGGTCAGTGCAGTTTGCAATGAATCTGTGTATGCAGAAAAAAAATCCTGGCCAGCAGGACCGCCGGTGGAGTGGGAAGGGTCTGTCCACTGTCAGGTTCACACTACTGAAGGCGTGAGGCCCACCACTCCCTCTCCTTGGACACTTGGCCTGCCCTTCACACAATTAAGAACACAATGGAAGCATTCAGAAGGCCCAAAGCCCCAGCCCTGCAGTTTCACCATAAGTGTCATTTCCCTCCTTGGCCCTGAAATTCACTCCAAGTGCATAGTTGTCTGTGTGAGAATCCATGGGATGCATCCAGAGGGGTGAAGGGGGCTGCCCTCAGCAGGCTGACTCAGCATCCTCAGTGACGCACCTCCTTCACTAGAGGCGCTGAAGGGTACCCAGTGGGGGCGTGAGGGCTGCAATATTCTACTAAAGGGAAGCAAGACGGCACCCGGAGCACTCTGTGACCACAGGTGGAGGGTACACAGACCCGAACGTGATTGGCAGCCACAGCTGCTCAGAGTTAGGGCAGCCTGAGTGGCTTTTCTGTTGTTTTTTATCAAGAAATTAAGATGCTACCTGACCAGACAAAGTTTCCCTGAGCCTTAAGTGGTGCTTACTATCAGGTGAGGATGGGGCAGGACTCACCAGTAGCACGGGAGGAGGTGGAGCACACAGATTTGTTTGGGCTTGTGTGCTAGCAGGTGAGTGTGGATGGTGTTACCCTGAAGACTAACTCGCTCTCTTCGAGTCTGTTCATGTGATCTGGGATGAGTTCATTAGCCTCTCTGAGCTGCAGGCTCCTATCTTCAAAAGGAGGATACTGTGGTCTTCCCTTTTGGTGCCCTACACGTAGCAGAGTGTAGGCACACGAGAGGAAGGAAAAAGAATGGGGAAGGCGTCTTTTCAGCCCAAATCTATGGGAGGGGGCTGCCCTCGGTGTCTGCTTTCTTTCCCAGCAGCCTGGTGGGTACAGTCTTCACAGTTGGAGAGGTACAGGTTCTAGCTGGTCCCAGCTCCGCCACTTACTCCAACTTTCCCTGCAGCCTCAGGGAAGTCCCCTCCCTCCTCTGGCTCAGCTTCCTCATCTTTCAAGGAGACCGGATGGAGGGGTGTCTGGGCAGGTGTCTGGATGGAGAGGTGTCTGGGCAGGTGTCCGGAGGGTGGAGGGTGCCATCCTCCCTGAGGGAGCTGGCTGGGCGGACACTGCACTGCAGGCTGTGGCCAGCAGGGGGAGGCAGCTGCCAGGCAGGGACAGTCTCAGGAGGGGCATGACACTCAAGTTCAAGGGCATCTGCTGTGGTGGTGGGGACCTGGAATGGCCAGGGACAGTGGGAGAATGAAGGAGGTTATCAAGGGACTCAGAGACTGTGCTTCTGAAGCAGATCCCGGGGCCGAGGCTTGACTGAGACCATCCCTTCTAGTTCAGGAACAGCTGCCGAGTTTTGAAACAGACGGTGTCCTCCAAAGCCCGTTTCGCTCAGACTCCTGGCCTTTTCCCAAGGCTGAGTGGCCAGCACCGACAGCTCGGCTGGATTCGCCAAAGGTGAGAGGACAACAGTCACCTACTTTTGTAATTTTGTTGTTTATTGAAAATATAGTGCAATTATCAAAGTGCAATCATTTTCCAAGTGCTACATTTCCATGATGCCACCGCAGGTCAGGAAACAAAACCGAACCAATACCCCAAGGGTCCCTGGTTTCCCATCCCAGTCGCTTTCTGTTGTCTACTTTTAAATGTTTGGTTTTGGTCAAATTGTGTGCTTTACACCTTGTTTTTGTTTTTTGGGGGGTTACCAGGATTTGACCTCAGCCACATCCTGAGACCTTTTCTGTATTTTTTTTAGAGAGAGAGTTTACTTGGTTGTTTAGTGCCTCACTTTTGCTGAGGCTGACTTTGAACTCGCGATCCTCCCACCTCAGCCTCCCGAGCCCTGGGTGCCACCAGGCCAGGGCCGCCTTGCTATTTTCTAATGCGAGCTGGGCATCACGCGTGGGAACCTGGAGCCCTCATTTGAGGTTCTGCCCGACGGAGTCTGCACCCACAGAGGACTCCTCTTTGCTCTAACAGGGTGGGCCTGGCACTCAGCCCTCACACCAGACTGATTCCAAGACGAGTCCCAGTCCCGGGTCTCTCTGCCCTGTCCCCTTCACTCCAACTCCTGGGGCACGAAAGCCATGGTGCTGTCAGGGTCCGCCCCTGGCCCCTTCCACCCTGTGGGCAGCTGGGAGCTCCCGTCACCCCACACTCCTCAGCTATCTGGCTCACCAGGAAGCTCTGCCCTCTGTCCTCGCCCGAGGGGACAAGGGACCTTGGTGCCCTGCTCTCTCCTCTCCTGCTTTCCATTTCAGCACCTCATATTCCCACGGCCTCAGTAGCTCCCAGGTCATTTCAAACCCATGATTGGTCACATGGTGTCTAGATTTTCTAGTTCTACTTATGGCGGGTTTGGTCCAAAATACCCTAGTGGGGCACTTCCGGGGCAGCACCTCGAAGGCTCCCAGGCAAAGCCTACTTAACTTGTGAGCTCTGGGGCCTGGAGATCTGAGTTCGAATCTCAGCCCGGCCCCTGCTAGTTCAGTGGGATGTTGATCTGTCTCTGGGTGGAAGAGGTGGCCGAGCCGCTAAACAGAGCTGTGCGCCCTCATCTTTTTACTTCAGCCTGCTGGTATTTACTTTTCCCATCTTTTAATCCTGTGGCGTCTTTCCTGTCCCTATGGTCAATTTTTTATATAAAAAACAAAGACAGCGATCCTTAGCTCTCAGATCTTTGGGACAATTCGATGACCTTGTGCATTTCAGTATTTATTACAGGAGAAGCATCCTCAAGGGTAGCTATTGCTACCTCCGTAAAGGTCTTCTTTTTCTGACGGGTGGACTGCACTTGAGTTCTTGGTTCAGGCTGATCATCAGCTAACAGTAAGAACTTCTTTCCATCTTGATCTTCCTGTAGAAGATCCCCCTAACTGGGTTTGCCCTGCGTTATCCACAGAAGGCGCTGCAGGCAAAGACGGGCGGGTGAGCACGTGGGGGATTGCAGGCCATCCAGGGTAGCTGCAGCAGGGGCACCAGGGAGCAGAGAGGTACCAGGAGGTGAAGAGAGCCCCAGCACAACACTGGCAGGAGCACCAGCCCCCCCTTGCCCTGAGGGAGGGGTGCACAGAGGAGGCCAGTCCAAGGTGCCAGGCTGGGCCCAAACTGGGCCCCTGGCTGAAGGTCTGCCCTGGAGCCCAGGGTGGGGAAGAACCTGTTCTCAGGGACACAGGGCAGAAACCCACACAGAGGGCTCAAGGACACAGGCCAGTGTGCGGGAGGGCGGGAGGCCGTGGTGCCCCCCAGGGCCCTGGGGTCCACGCCTCTCAGCTGTTCTGGTCCTTCTTCAGCACCACCACCCGGGGTGGAGATCTTGTGATGGAATCTGTCCCGAGCACGGGGACCTTGGTTTGCTGGTACTAGATGACAATGTCAGTCTCAGGGTAGCAGGCTGCGTGGCCCTGGGAGGCCTTCGCCACCTGCAGGGTGCAGGTTGGCTCTTTCCCTAGGAGGCCCTGGGCACCGCGCTTGTCCCCAGCATTGCAGGTCAGGCTTTGCTCTAGGTCCTGGTCATTGTCACGGGCAGCTGGGAACAGAGTTCCCTGCCCTGGGCAGGAACAGACTGTGGGCCACATGCCAGGCTGTCTTGGGAAGGGCCTCCCGGGTGAGAAGGGACGAGTTAGTAACCATGCCAGGGGATCCTGGCCTACAAGCAAAAGCAGGTCACGGAGTATTGAAGGGCAGCAGCTAAATTTGTCACAGGTCACAGTCATGTGGCTGAGCTTGGGGAAAGAGGAAGAAGAGGCAGGAGGGCTGAGAACACACACCTCCCCACAGGCTGGGAAGCCTGCAGACGGTGAGGCTGGCTAACCCTCCAAAGTCTTCACAGCCTGACCCTGTCACCCTCAGGGCCGCGTCCGGCTTCAGCAGTAGACAGCCGTGGGGAGCAACGCAGCTCTGGAGCCACGTGGTCTGAGTTTGAGTCTTGGCTCAGTTTCCTTAGCTGTGTGGCCTTGGACAAATCACTTAGCCTCTCTGGGCCTCTTCTTCTTCATCTGTGTGTGGGGTAATAATACTTCCTTGTGTTGTTTTTATTTTTTATTTTTAGTGTAGGTCAAACGAATCAACATGGAGTGTGTTATCATGGCAAATCCTAAGAGCTCAGTCACTGTCCCAGGTCGTAGGAAATTATTAGAGTATTCTTTCCCTAAAGAATAAGGTAGTGCTGAATGCTTTAAAGTGTCATCATCATCAAGACGAGGTGAAGCGCAGACTCCTGGAGCTGGGGTTGCCTCCACGGGGGCTCCTGCGGCACTGCTCTGTGGTTCTTGACACCTGGTAGAACTGCTCCTCCTCCTGCCCGGCTCGGCCTCCCCACTCCCTGTGCAGCCGCCGCCCTCCTGGGTGCCCGTCTTGCCCACACTTGCGCCTTCCCTCCAGCTCTGCAGTGGGATTGTTCATTGTGTGCCTCGCCCGCCGTGGGTGTCCCTGGGGGTGCTGGCCACTGTGCCTGGCACCTGGGGAGGCACAGAGCTCAGGGCCCCTCTGCTGCTGGCTTCCTCCTCAGGCAGACAGCACTGAGCAGGCACAGCCACCGCTGCCCCCTGCTCCTGCCCCCTGCTCCTGCGAGCCAAGGAGCTTGCTGCTTGCTCCATCCTGGGGGCCCGGTTGGGAGCCGCAGACCGGCCCCACACCCCAGCAAAGGGGAAGGAGCAGGCGCATCTGCTGCCCAGCGAGGTCACTTCCTGTCTTTCCTGGGAGGAGCTGCTCCGAGGATGTGGGGTGCGCTTCCTGGAAGACAGCACCTGCGCCTCGCGGCTGGCGGAGGACGTTCAGAGGGAGGGGAGTCAGCCTCCGAGGGCCTGGGGTGGACGACACGCACGTCAGTCCCAGCACTTAGACAGGTGCTGGGGGTCTTGAAACCAGGCCCGTTTCTGGTGGGTGTGGGGCCTGGTGACAGCCTGCTGGGGGCGTTTACTGTGGTGGCATGTTCTCGGGCCCTGTAGGAGCTGCCCCTGAGGTGGGCATCTGGAGAACAGACGGGAACCTGGTTTTCTCTTGAATCTGGGACAAGAAGCCTATTGAGGACGTCCACTCAGTAGGGCCAGAAGCAATTGTACTGGCGGGCACCTGCTGGATGGCGTGTGTGACAGGCTCCCCCACCCCCAGCCGGGCTTCCTCAGCCACACCCTGCAATAGAAGGTGAGGGACACCGGGCCCAGGTGCAGAATGCTCAGTGAGAGCTGGTCATCTTTGTCACCTCTGCCCTGGAGAGAAGGCGTCGTCTGAGGGGCTTTTATGAACACGTCGTGCGGAGACCTTTTCTCTCTGCTCTTGCCCCCAGCTGCCTCTGCCCTTGGGGCCCACCCTGGATCCTGGACCTGGGCCAGCAGTGGTCACCGTGGAACCAGGCGGAGAGCCCCATCCTGGCCCCCACGCCCACAGCCTTCTGCCAGCCTCGGAGGTCCTGAGCCCGGCGAGGATCCTGGCTCTTCACCAAGAGCTCAGACAAAGCATTTGCGGCGATTCCCAGGTCAATAAATCACCGCTGCAGTTAGGAATTTAATAGAAGCACTCGTTCTCCGGGGCTTTTCATAGACTCCATAAATATTTGAAGCAGAACCTTCCGAGGATGCTTTAAGAAATTGGTGGCAATCAGAGCTCTCATTTAGTGGCAAGCGGTTTTGCCTTTGGCGTAGGGACTTGTGTCCTCCATCAGGCTTGGGAGGAAAGCCGTGCTGTGCTCGCGAGTGTCGAGGAGTCTGGCAGCAGAGGCCAGCCATCGCCACCCCCTGCGCCAGGCCACCCCCTGCGCCAGGCCCCTGCTTCTCAGCCGGGCACCTTCATCCCCACGGCAAAGTGTGACCACGTCGGAGACATTTGGAGATCATAGCTGGCTGGCTGCGGCCAGGGGGACAACGGCAGGGGCTGAAGGACATCCTCCAGTGCCCACAGCGGCTCCAGGAGGGCCACCCAGCCGAGCCGCAGCGGTACGGAGGCTGTGGGGCGAGCGTAGTCTGGCAGCCGCGGCTCCACCAGGGAGAGCGGTCTCACTTTCTGCCCCCGGGCCCCTCCCCCTGTCCCCCCCCCATGTTTTAGAAGGTGTTTCCTCCTCTAGAAATCACACACTTTACATTAAAACACTAAAGATGATCAGAAATTTCTAATCAGCCCATTCGCTCCAAATCTGTTGATCCGGGCAGCTCAGTAGGAGTGAAAGACACCAGCAGTGTTGGCCCTGTCCCCACAGGGCCACCAGAGACACACACATGCCCATCATCCACTCTGCAGTCCCCGGCTGCCCTGCCGGAGCCACAGGCCAAGGGAAGGGCACCGCTGCTGGGCTGGCGAGGACGAGTCAGCGGCCAGCGAAAGGCCAGGCTACCTGCCCACTGTTCCCTTCTGGAGGAGGGGACGTCTTCATGTCAGGACGAGGGAGGACGGGGATGAGGAATGGGGCTCCCAGGAGGTGGGCAGAGCACCCAGATTCTGTTTAAACACGGCAGCACAGG